AAATAGACTTTTGGTAACTAAAATATAACACCTATATTGTGGTTTCCCCAAAATATTTAAAACCATTAAAATAGCGTCAATCAGTACCACTGTTTGCTGTGAAACATTCTAATTTTGGGTTTATTTTGAGTTGGCATCGTTCAAAAAAACCAAACGGCTCAGCTTTTGGCAAACTGAAAATTAAAAAAAATCCCCCTCAAAAATCAGGGGAAGGAGTGATAATTTTTTTTAAAAAAGAGAACCACCTGTTATATGGTAAAAGTACAAAAAAAGGGGGAAATTTTAATTTTTTAACCATTTGATTCGAAGAAATGTATCCGACCACCGAAATCACTGTATGTCCATTTTCAGATAAGCATTCTGGCATTTGTCCCCAATATCATAACTAACGGATTTAGAGCAAGAGCTCGAGGCGATGGCTACTAGATTGGGCCCCCAGCAGGGTAGCGAAAAGACACAACCACGCACCTATTGGGCAAACAAAAGGCCGGTTTTCATCACATCCTGTTAAACATCCGTCCCTTTTTTACGAAAATCACTCCCAACAAATATCCAGAAACCGAGAGGAAAGATGTTACACATCAAGATGCAGGAAAACCGAAAAGGGCACCACATCTGTTGATGAAGAACAATAAAAAAAAACTATACCAGAGATAATAGTATTTATGGACAGCTATCAGAAGTGGGTCTGTGGGGGTGATGCTGGGGTTTTGGGCAGTTCAAAAAAAATCAGGGGTAGATTAGCAAATGTAAGACTAAAAGGGAGAATTCCAAGAAAAAGCGTATCTTAGTTCACAGCAGCGCTAAAAGGATTTGGGGGGAAAAGGGAAAACATTAATTGGGCAAATGATTATTTAAAAGTTAAGGAGGGACAAAGCTAAAAAATCGTTATTCGGTATGATAGCCAAAATATGTAAGACGCGTAAAAAAGAGAAATGAATCCTGACTGCATCCGGCAACTTTAAATACCCACATAGTTTTATCATTCAGTCATGGGACAGAAGATATCGGTCGCCTTCATATCATCGATGGGACACTGAATGTCATAAAATACATTGACACCATTCTAAAATCCAAACTTCTGCCTTCCATCTGGGATCTATTTAAACACAATTCTTCATTCCACAATTCTTCATTATCAAGTAAAACAATTTCAACTGAACTTTTAAAAATTAAAGATGCATTTTTTTCTACCTTGTAAATTTTCTCTGTTATTGGGATAAGTAAAAATGAAGGGGGAAAATTGTTTTCAAAATTTTCGGATATATTGTGCATTCAAGTTCAAAATTAATTTTAAAAAGATATATATACAAAAAAACACTTCAATATACGGTCAATAAAAATATTTTTGAAGGGAATTTCCACTGAGCATAAAGAGCGAACGGAATCGTAAATATCTTCAAGAGATGTTAGTAAAAAAATTGATATTCCTTCGAAGTGGAAGAAAAGAAGAAATAAATCGTTATTTTTTTTTTCCCTCTCTAAGCTCTTGATTATTCAAAGTGATAATATTTTCAATCAATCAGGAATGATTTATAACGTGTGGATAAAATTGTAATATTTTGGAAGTGTTCATTCTAATTATCAAAATTTACAGAAGTTTTTTTTTTTAACAATAGTTTTATGACTATTTTTAAAACCTTCTTTCTTCTCATTTCAATAAACAATATTACATGAACATTCTAATTTTTCAAACTAAATCTAAAAAAAAACCCCCGAATATAGTCAGCCATCTTTGTGGTGGAGGGATCAAAAGTTAGAAGGAAGATTAGCCATAGTTAAAACAAGTATAATTTATATTAGGTCCCAAAACCCAGGTTAGGGAAAAGCACCTTTAAGTATAACAAAAAAGGGGGTAGACGAGATAATTAATATTTAATTATAAATTGAATCATTTTTGGAATGTTGCAAAAACCCTTCCAAATCATTGAAATTTCGTTTTGTTTAATTTTCTTTAAGCCAACACTATTCCGATTTTACGTGGGCCACAAAAGTTTGTACATTTGAATTTTCCAAAAATTAATGTTTTCTACAATAAAAAAATTAATATTTTTTTGAATTGTATTTTTTGATATCTGCAACTTTTTTTTAATGAAATTAATCATCAAATTTTTAAAAAAAAGTATAATTATTATTTTTTTAAAAATTTTAATCAAAAGCTCTTTTCACACATAAGTTTTCGTACACTTAACATAATTCTCAACATAGTTTTTAAATATTGTATTTCTTTTTTTAATTTTGACTTAATAGGGTATATTTTTGTGTCCACTACAACTTTTAAATGTCTTTGGGAAGATTTTAAATTTGTTTCTTGTAATTTTTTGATTTTCCACCCTGCTTGTTATTGTTTTACTTCATATTATGTGTTTATATGTTATGCTTTTTTTTTTTTATCAAATTTCCAAATATGTTCTAAGGGCTAAATAAAGGGTTGAGAAGATGTTTTTTGAATTTTGGGGCAGTTTAGAGACACCCCGGGGCCTAAATTAAATGCGCTTGGCATCAGTACCTGTTAAAAATGAAGTCGTCTTCAATATCGAAATTTTGGGCGAATTATTTAAAATTTTTCTTTTAAAAAATTTAAAAAGAGCTCTGATTCCTTTATCTACCCAAAATTTCCTAAACCTGGCCCAAATTTAATCCCCAGAATTTGTGGAAAAAAAATTATAATCTGATATATTAATTTTTATTTGTCGAAAACATTAAATTTAATAAAAAAAAAATTGCAAGTACACAAACACTTTTGCAGTCCACTGTATCTAATTGACCAAATCGTCAATTTTAAATACTAAGCAAATAATCTAATTTTCGCCCTCGACTAAGTTTCTATTATTTTCGTAATACTACTTCTTTTTATCTAGTTCCTAACCCTTTCTCGCCGGGTAGCCGAGGGGAAGGCGGATCGGGTTTCCCCTGTCAATTTCGAGCCCAGTATCACTAAAGACCCGCCGAGGGGCGATGTACGTTAAATCTGCGATGAAACGTCCCCCTTGGGGGGTGTGGTAGTTGGGATAGGGGTCCCACCCGTCCGTCCACGTCACTTGACCATGGTTAAAAATGACGTGGTCCGTCCCCAAAAACCCCCTCTTTAGCTGAACAGTGCGACGTTAATATCCAATCATTCATTCTAACCTTTCTCTTTCTCGAATTTAAAAGTTAGTGCTTAAGTATAAGCCTTGATTTACATAAGTGGGTTTCGGGGGAAATTTTTAAATTAATAATATTTGCAGTTTTCCCTCAAGAAGATTAGAGGAGGTTTGCGAATCATTGTTACATTTCTTAGCTTTTTTAAAAAAAAAATTGGGAGCGTATCGATTTGGAAACTAAACATCCCTTGACAAAATCCTAAACTTTTCGTGATTTTTATTCTTTCTTTTTTATATTTTTCCCCTGTTCAACATTAAATACCCGACTAATTAATGCATTTTTGTTACGCAATGGTATATAGTATGCAATCGTCTATCATTTTTCCTTGTTTATGTATTTTTTCAACTTGGAATGAGAGAAAACTATGAATTATTGATTAAATGTAATACTTTTATTTTGATAAGCTTACAATTCGAAGTAAAATTCTCATTCATATATTTTTAGTGTATTACATCGCCATTGGCAAATTGAAAGAAAGATCCTCCTTTCTGATATTGAATAAACATAACATAAATATTAATACTTTCATTTTGCAATTTTTTTTAAGTATTCAATTACTGGCAAATGAGCATACTTTATGCTTTTGAATTCAGGTTGACATTGAGATGATAAAAAAATAAATGGTTTTTAAATAAACTTTACATCTTTGGTCAAATTTTAACCGAAAATGGGAAATTTTGTAGTTTTTTTGTGTGAAAAATAATGATTTTTTAAAAAATTTTTGTTTTTTTTTTTGTTTAGAAATTATATTTAACTTTTAAAACATCAGTACATACACATACATATTTTTGATGCATAATCCATTTCAAAGTAACAGTGAAATGAAACAGAATATGCCGTCTTTTGGTATTTGTATTCTTAATAGATTTAAATTGAAAATATATTTCTACCCCTGAAGAGAGAGACATTGTATTTCATTCGAGTGTAAAGCTGAAGGAAAATTATAAAATAATTAAAGCTACAGTGGAATTTTTTATTTTCCCAAAGGGGGTCTAATATCCTCCGATTAAAATTTTTAAAATATAAAAAAAAATTTAAAAAAACAACAAATATTTTTTTAAAAAGTATGAACATGGAAAGAGAAAACCGAGTTAAAATTTAAGAGGTAGCGAATCTTATCCTTCATGAAAAAGAAAACTCTTGAAACGAACTCATTTTTTTTTTTCAGTCATTGTTTCCAAAAAGGTTTTTTAGTTTAGTTTTTATCAACATAACATTAGAAACAAGGGAAAAAAACACAGAAAATAAAAACAAGATAGTCAAATACCCGGGGGGTGGGCAATTTTTTTCCACCCACACCAAATTTTTTTTCTTTTTTTTCATTCCTACTATTAGTTCACATTTTCCCTATATTATTATTTTATTTTGTTTTTTAGCTTTTGTAATTTGTTTGTAATTTTTTTTTTATTATTTTTTTTTTTATTTTTTTATTTTTTTTTTTATTTTTTTTTATTATTTATTTATTTATATTTATTTTTTTATTATTATTTTTATTTATATTTATTTATTTTTTATTATTTATTATTTATTGTTATTTATTTATTGTTATTTATTTATTATTATTTATTTATTTTATTATTTTTTGATTTTTTATTATTTTATATTTATTTTTATTTTATTTTTATTATTTAATATATATAAAATCTTGTTCAAATGTTCAATCGCTCATAAAATACTTTTTATTCATCCATTCAAGTTCAAATAAATTTTTTTAAACTTGTAGTGGATCGCACCTGATATTAATACAGGTTTTCCAAATATTAATTCATTAATTATATTTAATTAATGAAGAAATAGTAACAAGCAAAAATAGTAGTTCAATACCCTATATAAAAAGGAAAATTGAAAGTTGTGTCCCTATAGCGCTTTTGAATAGCGCGTTGGACTTCTCATCCGAAGGTTGTGGGTTCAAATCCCACTTGGGATGGCCTAATGTCTAAGAATTTGATTTTTTTCTATACTATTTTATTTAAGAATTATATTTAATTAATGAATAAATAGTAGCAAAAACAAAAAAATAGTCCAACACCCTATATACAAAAAAAATGGAAAATGGCAAGGAAAATCGCTTTCTATTTTGTCACATAATAGTGTGATTTTGTCATATGTATATGCATATTAAAATATTAATTATAACTATTTAATAAAAAGTAACTATATAAAATGAAATTTTTCTGTGTTGACCTTAGTAGGAATTGACTTAAGAATATTTTTTTTCTATTACTTGTTATTTAATGTGCAGCACCCTTTATTAAGCCACGTGATATTAGATTGGTGTTTATGAAATGTAGGACTTTTATGTGAATATATGAAACTGCATTTCTTTTTTACAAAGCAGTTTATTTAATCTAAATAATTTGCTTCACAATGAATTTGGAAAAAAAAAGCTGAATCTAAGGCCGGTTTTACAAATCTATTCTTTTCTATAAACATTTTATTTATTTATTTAATTTTTTTGTTTCTCTGGGAATCCATTGGGAGAAGGATTAGTCGGAAAATTCCATAACTTAGCTGAAAAAAAGACCCTGATTAATGAAGGTGAATTAATTAGCATCGATTCTATGAAGCAAATGGATGCGCATAAAAAAAAGGAAATGCGATTAAAAAAATTCTCGGAAAACTGTCGACTTTATAAGTGTTAAACCAATAATGGTATTTATTCCACCTCGTCGCGTGGTGCCTTATGGGAGAGGGAAGAAAGCCCGTGTTTATAGCTAAGAAACAACGGTAGAAAATTAACTGTGGAAATATGCGAAAATTCTTTTTATTTTTAATTATAACCGATTTTTTTCATAATTAAGCGTCCTGTTTTCCTAGCGATTATTGGTTAAAACTACACATTGTTACAAAATTTTTTCTTTAATACAAAAATTACTTTATAGGTTTATTTTTTTCATATAATTCCCAATTTTAGTAGTAAAGAAATAAATGTATCCATAACTCAAACATGTACTTTTCTTCAACTTAATAAAAGAGAAAAGTAAATTAGTTTTTTAAAATGAATACAAATTATTTGGCGATTTTTAAAATACATAACCCTTTTAAACATTTTAACCCTTTTAAGGCAACTAAAAAGATTCAGAATTTTTTTTTAAATTACATACTATTCATTAAAAAAGATACTGTTTTTAGAGTCAATACTTATTAGAGCTTACAATCCCGTGTTATATTTTCAATTCCGGGATTGGTAACAGGATTAGGATTGAACTATTTATGAAAAATGCTTGCACATTAGTATGGTTCAAAATTGCAAAATAAAACTGAAAATAAAAATAAAAGTTGGTTTAATATCAATTTTATTCGAACAAATAAAATTTTTATCATAAAAAAATATAGTACATAGCAAAATGTTTAAAAAAAAACCGTTTCTTCATTTCTTGTGTTTCTGTAAATAAGCTTCTAAACAGCGCAGCTCGTCCAGAGTTTCATCGTTCAAACGGTTTCTTATTTTTGTTACACATTATCCTGCAGAAGAAAATGCTCGTTCGGATTCAGTTCTGGTAGATGTTATCATCATTAAATAGGAGTATGTTCTTTTCAAGTAGTTACCCGGCATCCTCTCTCTCTCTCCATTTTCAAAAAAAGTGACATATCTTTTGAATTTTTGATGACAGTGTCTCAAATCTAATAGCCTGCATTTTGGAGCATATCTCTCTTTGATAACTTTATCTATTTCTTATTATACACTTAATGGTTTTTGTGCACAAATTGATCCAGTTATTGAATCAGAATGTGAGTCCAAGTGTTGCCTCATTTAAAATAAAAGATCCAGTTGCATGAGCTGTTAGTAATGCACGGGATTTGAAGTGCCTCAAGTATTTCAATCAGGCCCGCTATTAATTACCGGTATTTAATTGAAGAAGGAAATGTGACAAAATCTATTCTTGAGATGTTGCTTATATTATTGTGGAAGTATTGCAGTGAGCAGCCTTTCATTCCTTCAGTGGGTCGATAAATGAGTACCGAGCTTGTTTGGGAACTAAACACTGGGGATTTCACGTCAGACCGACCACCTGATTGGAATATCTGCTCATGCACCTCAGCGCCCATGGTCACGTTTACTGAGATGGGTGCAGGCCTTGCCCCTCAAGAACTGTTGCGTCACTGAGTTTAGTTCAGCGAAACGTAACCTGCGGCCCACCGAGCCTTTTTAGGTGGCCCGGTGATGACCTATTGCTCTGAGAAATTCAGTTATTTAAGAACAATGTAATAAAAATTTGATAGTAAATTCGTTGACAAGAAATCAAATATATCAATTTTGCTTTTTTGCTGTCGATGTCGTCCGCCTGAGAATATTAATTATTGTGTAAGTATTGCAGTGAGCCACTTAGATCTATCTGTGACGTTCTTCCATACGAGAAATGAGAGTTGCATATATTTTTTTTTTACTTATAGCACTTGAAATTGCACAAAAAAATCTACGTATATATTTTATAAACAAAATATAAATTTTCTAAGAGTTAAATTTTAGAAAATTTTGAGGAGAAAAAATTTTAAAATATAATTCAGACGAAAAGTAAATAACTAATCCCGGGATTCTGAAAATGATAAAAAACACCTGGATCCCTATGTTACAAACCCTAATACTTATAAATATTAATACTTAACCAGCAATATTAAAATAATTTGTCTAAATTGTACAAAAATTAAAATTATAAAGGACATTTTAGTTGTTTAAAAAAAATTTCTTTAAGGCAGTTAGAGAAAAAGTAATAAACTGACATCAATACAAATATCACTAAAACAAACTACAACGTTTATCTAGAGAATGTACTAAAGTTTCAAAGCTACATTAAAATATATAAATATTTCAGAGTTGATCCAACTAATATTATAAGAAACGTGACATGCTTTGAGGCTGTTATTGAAATAAAAGGCCATAACGCAAAAACAACTCATACAGTAAGAACTATTTCAGTACAGTTCCTAGAAAAGAATTCCAAAAGTTTTCCAAAAATCATCAGATTCCAAAAGGTTAAGGCTACACAGTACCCTAAAAATTTCATATTTACCGAAACCTTTTTTTTTGCATTTTGTTGTGGCTCTTATCATTGAGATGATTGCCATCAAATTTCAGATCTGTTAACAAATAAGTTTCATTTAAAATTTATATTAATGTTTTCATCTCATATTTCATTTTAAAGTATTTTTCCACTCTTGAATTGAATTGAATTAAGATATTTTTCAGCACAATCAAAATCATAAGGGAAATTTTAACTGTTTTTAAAAGTTCTTTAAAGCAGTTAGAAAAAATAAACTTACATCAATAAAAGTATTACTAAAACAAACTACAACATTTATCTAGGGAATGTTCTAAAATTTTAATGCTTTATTAAAATATAAATATTTTAGAAATGTTCCAACTAATATTACAAGAAAAGAGACATATTTAATCATGAAATAATAAGGCCATAACGCAAAAACTACTCCTACAATAAGAATTATTTTAGTACAGTCCCTAGGAAAGTTTATAAATATCAGGTTCCAAAAGTTCAAAAGAAATACATTTCTAATATTTTGAGTTATCCGGCTTGTCATGATTGATTTTGAACGAATTAAAAGGTCATTTCTGGTAAATTAAAGATATGGTTTTGCTAATTTTATGTAATTTATTGTAACTCGCCCTTTATATAATATACTAGCCGTTGCCTGTCCACTTCGCTGGGTATTTCATGACGTTGTACGAATCTATACTGTTTATAAATTATTGATATCTAAGTTCTAGCATCAAACATTCGAATGTATTTATAAACATTCTTATAACTCTCATCTCTTGAAATTATTCGGATACCTTAAAGTCTTTCTTATAAAAGAATAAATTTGTGTGTGAATGCAAATTATTTTAAATAAACGATAAATAATACTACGTATTTTACGATAGTTTCAAAAAGCAATTAGTAAAAATAAGGGAAAACTTGCATCAATGCAACTAAATCAGCATTGCTTGTTACTACTTGTATTTCTAATTAAAAATAATCAACAATGTTCCCAAAATTAAAAATAAGAAATAAAGTATCTAATGAAAAAAAAGTAATTTCAAAACTAAATTTTTTTTTTCATGAAATCGCTTGTCGATATATATATATATTAAGTTTTAATTTATTTAGCCTTGGTTTCTAATATACTTCGAAATGAATACATATTTAAAAATCGGAAATATACTTTACCCTGTATTATTATTTTAAAGTAAGGACTAAAAATTACCTTTTTTTACATGCATTTATAACTTTTTATTTCAAAATATAAAATAAGATATTTAAGAATCAGTAAATTTGCAGATCGCAAAAAATTTTTTTTACCGAGAAAAATCCCCCTTTTTTTCATTGAGAATAGCAAATACACGTTTGGAATATTTGCTTTTTCAAGATGTTTTTAAGGAACGCGTTTTATATTTGCAGTTCAACATTCATTTTATTTCGGGAAAGAAGTAATTACTTTTTGCAGGGAATCTAGATCGAAAAACACAAAATATTGAATGCAAAGTAAAAGAATATTCCAAATTAAGTATCTGCCCTACTATAGCTTTTAGTAAAAAGTTTAATTTCAATTCAGAAAATTTTAGGAAAGACATTTCTTTCAATATTATGTTTTCATCTTATAAAATTTTACAGATACCTTAATAAGCAACTTTATTTCTTGGTAAAGTATCCAATAAGCAATTTTCTTCTATACTGACAAGGGGAGGGCACGAATAAGGGGAAATTTATTTGGGGGTGAGACTTTGTCCAATAGTAGTACTTCTTTTGGGTGTTCAACCCTCAATGTAATTCCACCGAATGGCTAGTCAATTTGGAGAAAATAGCCTTCGAAATTCATGCTTAGCTTTTATACAGTTAAACTTTAATTACTTCTACCAACGCATTGGCGGAGTTGGTAGAGAACCTGTTTACCACGCGACAGGCCAAGGTTTCAGTCGTGCGAACGATT